GGCGGGTGTCGGGTGCCGCGGCCCCCCGCGGCCGGGCCCACGGCAGCCGCTCGGGGCCTTCCTGCCCGCCCTGTGGGGCCGGCGCTCTCCCGGGCTCTCGGCCGAGCGCCTCTGGTCTAGACCTGAGCCTTCCGAAAACGCGAGCGCTCTTCAGCGTGCAGAAAACGCAGAGCAGGTGTAAAAGCAATCCCAGGATGGGCCGCCGAGCGTGCTCCGGGCCCGGGAGGCCGCCTGCGGCTGTCGCGTGCTTTCTGTTTGAGCTGCCGGGCCAGGGCGGGCCACAGGCCTCGGCTGTGAGAGAAAGCAAACTCCTGTAGCAGTGCAGGTTCCAGAGCCAGGTGGAATTTTCTGAGTGCCCTGGATCGTGAGCCAGGAGCGCCTTCAGAAGAGAGATGAAGGGCTCAGCAGTCTCAAGTGGAAATATAACATCATGGATACTTGTTTAAAGGATTCAGCAATTTTTTTTTTAACAATTTTCGAAGTGAAAGCATTGTGATCTTCACATAAAATCTCTCTGAAGCCACGTATGCTTTCCCAAGGTTACACTTGTCTGCCTCGAAGGTACACACGTTTGGTAGTTACAGGTGCACTTTCTTCAGGGAGCAACTGCCAGTGTGACAGGCGGGGGGCAGGGTCTGTGACTCAAAAATAAACAACCCGTGTGCCCTTGAGAGGACCCCGTGAGAAGGCTTTTCACCTCTGTGGTCATCCTCCCAAATCCCATGACCCCAGTGTAACCATGAAAAACATCACACAAACCAAACAAACCTGGATTGAGGAACATCTTACAAAATGCATTGACCAGCCTTAGATCAAGGTCATGAAATCTGAGAAACCTTCACAGCCTGGAGGAGCCTAAGGACACATGACCACTAAATGCAAAATATTAGGGAAAACTGAATAAAGATTTTAATTAGTAAAAAAAATTAGTGAGTAAAACTAAATGTGTTATTTTAGCTCAGCTTATGTGTTCAAGGGAATTGGTTAATAAGAAAATAAACAACAGGTCAACCTTTTAAAAAACAGTGGATGCTGTTATTTATACCTACATACTATGCTTTTATATTAATAAAAGTGAAAATGTGGTATTCATTAATTTCATACTTCCCCAGAAACCACCCACTGTCACTGATTTGGCTAGCTGAGTTACTCGTGGTAGTAGAAGACAGACATATAGTTTTGTTTCAAGTCTACTTTGATTTATTCAACAGATATTTACGAAGCTCTTATTATGTGCCAGGCACTGTTGTAGGTATTGAGGACACAGCAGTTTTAGAATCTACTCCCCTTACTTTTTCCACATCTGCTAACAAGCAGCAGAGTTGACCATTTTGAAAGAACTGAAATGGAGGAGGAGGGAGGAAAGAGGAGGTAGACTGGTAGAGTTGGAGAGTCACCTCCTTGCATTCAGGGAGACCTTACCTGACTGTGCCTTACTGAAAGTCTGAACTTTAAATGAATTGCCAGGCAGCAGTATTTCTAGAGTCTCAGCTTCAGGGGAGTCCAGTTCTGGCTGCAGTCCTTTTGGAGTCTTGGGGTACATCTTCCTCTGCTACTGGCTTTCACTCTCACTTTTAAGGACCTTTCCAATGAATCAGCCAAATAAAACTCCCAGTAGGCCAGACATAGGCTCAGGATGGGACTGCCTGCTTCCTGCATGCCTTTGAGGGACATATGAGTGGAAAGTGGGCAAGGAGACGTAGGTCATTTGTGGTATGTCTGGTGTTAGAGCCCACCAAAGTTGGGCACACATAAGAGAAACAAGTGATCACTGGGTGTGAAGACATTTGTGTAAAGCCAGCTATAACGTTAGAATTCCAGCAATACAGCATGGGCTCAGGAGGTGCAGAGGAGCCAGACCACATGAGTGAGCATGAGACAGGAGTCGGGCTCCCTGTGCAGGAGCGCTGGTCATTGAGGGGGTGGCATGACTGCCCTGGGATAGGTTTCCTAGAGACAGTCTCAGGAAAGTTGTGTGCTCGGGAATTTGCTGGAGGCCTTAAAGAATTGGATAAATAATTAACTCCCTGGAGGATGCCCTCGATCATGATGAGCGAGGTGATCTTTAAAAAATCCTTTTCATCAAGACCACAATGAGATACCACCTCACACCCATTAGGATGGCTGTTATCAAGAAAATACAAAGAACGGGTGTTGGCAGATATGTGGAGAAATTGGAACCCTTGAGCATTGATTGTGGGAATGTAAATTGGTGAAGCTAATTAAGGAAAACAGTTTGGCCTTTCCTTAAAAAATTAAACATAGAGTTCCCATATAATACAATTCTGACTATATATATACCTAAAAGAATTGAAAGCAGGGACTCAAGCAGGTATTTGTATACCAATATTGATAGCAGCATTATTCACAAAAGCCAAAAAGTATCCAAACAAATGAATGGATGTAGTATATACATACAATGGAATATTATTCAGCCTTTCTTATGTGAGGCACCTAGAGTCGTCAAAGTCATAGAGACAAAAAGTAGAATGGTGGTTTCCTGGGGCTGGGGGAGGGGAAATGGGGAGTTAGTGTTTAGAGGGGACTGAGTTTCAGTTTAGGAAGATGAAAAAGTTCTGGAGATGGATGTGGGTGATGGTTGTACAACAATGTGAATGTAGTTAATGCCCCAGAACTTAAAAAATGCTTAAGATGGTGAATTTTGTTATGTATTTTTTACCAAAATTTAAAAAAAAATTCTTTTCAGATTTTGTAGTCTCCTCCCTGAGAGGAGTACCACGTAGAGGTATAGTCTCATGTGGGTGGAACCTGGGATGCAGACGTCCCACTTCCTGTTGCAAGCCTTCCATGCATCCAGTTTCTGAAGGTTGGGCTCTCTGGCTTCAGGACAGACACATGCTTTCTCGTTGCCTTCCTGCTGTTCTTTTGCTCTTGACACCAGGAACATACCAGGTGCTTGCACCCTCCACTCCCTTGCAGAGATGGAGACAGAGACAGAGGTTAGTTTCCACTGCTTCTTTGTGTGTCCTTGACTCCTGTCCTCAGCCCCTCCTGTCCCCTGAAACCTGTAGGTTTATGGTCTGTTCACCTGTTTGCATTCCACCTGGATCTTTGCTCTTCAAAGGCAGGACACACGTCCTGGCCACTAGGAGGCATGTGGTGGTGTTTAACTAGCCTTGAGTAACGAGTAAGGGGGTGAAACTGAATCTTATTATTTTATGAAAGGATTTCAGAGCTGCTGTCTTCACCTTACTCAGAGATGACCTCCTTTACCTGCAGCCTCTGCTAAGTAACATAATCCAGAGTTACACTGGATCTGAATACCTGTAACCCTACCTGATATTTATCTAACCCTGAGAGGGGATCATCGTGGTAAGGATAGTGTGAGAGATAGGAGCATTTGAGTGTTTTGCAACCTGTGCCTGGTTTACTTGATAGTGTTTCCATAAGAAGGGACGATAAAGAGGAGTTGCTACTAAAGCCCCATGGTGTTCCAGACCTGTGTATCATCAGGGTTCTGAGGGTTGTCTGGGCTTAGCTGGGCGGCTCTCACTTGGGGTCTTTCAAGCAGTTACAGTGAGATTGTGGCTGGGCTGGAGTCATCTCAGTGCTTGACTGGATTGGCCGTGTGAGGTGGCTTCTTCACGCACAAGGCTGGGGTGGCTAAAATGGCTGGGGGCTTGCTGAGCATCTCTCTTTTCCTAGCCCTCTCTACCTTCCTCCCTCCAGGTGGCCTCTCCCCATCCAGCTGCCTTGAGCTTCCGTACAGTGTGGTGGTCTCAGGGAAGTCAGGCCACTTATATGGTGGATAGCTTCCTCTTGACCAAGCTCTCAAGGACCACTGTGGGAACTGCGTGGATCCTTGTAACGCCACTTCTGCCATGTTCTGCTGGCTTGCTCAAGGCCAGCTCAGGTTTAGTGTGGGAGGGGACTTATCGGGACATGAATCACGAGAGGCAGGGTACAGAAGAGGAAGTTGAGGTCTGGAGAGATCATAATGTGTGCCTGATCACAGAACTGATGGTACCAGGATTTGAGCCCAACTGGGGCCAGCTTTGAAGTTGTTCTCTCTCACCCTGCTCCCTGTAGGGAAGGCAAGGGGGAAGACAGAAAAATCCACTTACAGATAAGGCTTTTCTGAGGAGGGGCTTCACAATTTATTTGAAAAGGCTGGTACTCTGTTACTGGGTTATTATTAGTATAGATAATTCCCAAAGACATGCGGGCAAATAATTTATTTTCATTTTCGTATGATAAAAGCAGGAAGAGACCACTAATGTAAGTTCCTACATGAAATAAATACCCCCATGGTCTTATGGCACTGCTGTTGGACAGAGTATATTTTGTCCTCAAAAATATTTATAGGTATAGTGTGAATATAATGTAATTGATGTGTTCAGTCCGGTAGTTAACCCTTAATATGTAACCATCATTTTTTTGTTTGTTTTAACCATGAGGGACTAATGACTGGCTGGTTAGCTCAGTTGGTTAGAGCATGGTACTGATGACAACCATGAGGGACTAAAGGAGATGTTTAATCCCACATTGCCTGATACTTCCAGGCCAGGAGCCTGTGAATGTAAACTGCCCCCTTTTAGGCGTTGCCTGGACCAGTTTGTGAGGCAGCGTCCTCGGCCCATGCAGGGACAGGGGTCTCCCTGGCGTGTTCCTGCAGTCAGCTTTTTTTTTTTTTTTTTTTTTTTTTTTTTTTTTCCG